AATTACATCAAAGTCAAAAGGCACAAAAGTGAACGTAAGCATTTCTTGACTATGAAATTGACATTTCTATATGGACTCATATTTTGATAATGTCGCGGTACCTAAAAATATTAATAGACCTTTCATACATGCACAGTCTTATTTTAATGCGTACAGCTGTGGCAGCTTCTTTGATAATTACCCAATCAACAATCTTAATCTCCTGACCACTAGCTGGCACTAAGGTGCTAATTAATTGATGAGATTAACTAATCTCACTAAAGTTATAATATATGTGACCAAGGGGAATTAACAAAAACCATGTTGTCAATACGATAAGATTTAATTTTTAAATCTATTAATCATACAAAAAAAGGGTGGTGGTAACAACCCTGAAAGTACAAAAAAACAAACATTAATAAATTTGTTACATCATGAAGAGATGGGGCTAACAACCGCTCAACATGATCTGGGCCACTCCATGACACGCATAAATTCACCTGCACATAGGGGATCTTAACAATGGTACATTTGTAGGAACCAGAATGCCCTGATAAAACCCCTGAGGTTAGGCAGGCGACCCCAATCCTGTCACATACATGTACAAGCGCAGGATCCAAAGCATGCCACCCGAGTCATTGACAGAACATATGATCCAAGCTCACGCGTCAGACCACTCGGCCACCCAAAGCTCTTAATTTGTTAACAAATATTTACATAATCCAACAATATGAAAGAGGGTTGACAAACATTAATTGCTGCAGATGCCTCATGTCCCTGTATAGTACTTGAAAAACCTTTGACATTTACATGTACATAAAGTCAAAAACCTAACACCATTATAGTATTAATAGTTAATTTACTATCTAGGGATTCAAATAAATATTGAGAATTACACTCAACAAGTAACTATACGACATGCACACACCGGTAACCTGCCTATTTAAGCCTGTATACTACAAATTCCAAACACATGGCTAATGATGAAATAGGGAGGCAGACCACCATTAAATTTCATCATCTCGGTACCCACGAATTGTAGTTCGTCTATTTATAGCAATTCTCTCTCTCTCTTTTCTCCCCTTTTGCATGCCCATTTTTGTTGATTGTTTGGTCTAGAATGGACGAAGAGGGTTTGAATTAACATTTTCTGCCAGGTTTTGGTAAATATTCATGATTTTGAGGCGGAAGGATAAGAGGGTTATCAGGTTAGCTACGGCGATATGTACGGCAACTAGTTACATGTTTTTAGTATGCTTCTTCAAGTTTGTGTATCTCAAAATTTTGGTGGTCAACCTCATACAAATTTTAGTGCAAAGACATGACCATTTGTTCCTCTGTCTGTAGTGAAAAGCATTCAGCCCAACGAAAATTTGGGGAAAAGTTGGAGGTGGGCAAAGAGGCCAGAATTAACATTGAAGTCAATGGGGAAATTAATGGTGGTCTGCCTCCATAGGGGTCATAGAAGAGTTGTCTCCCCTCAATCATAAAACGCATGGCTTTCAATTCATAACATGTCTTTACATATGACTTCAAGATAAATAAAATACCGTCTAATATCACAATTAACCCTTATCAACAAACAACCTATTTAGAATCTTGTATGACAGCAGAAGACAACAATTGTCATACAAACTATTACCAATTCTGCATAAAATCAACAAATCTGACATAGGTCAAAGATCGTGAACAGCGCGGGACATGAGTTGAATGCTTCTTTCAATAAATGAGAATATATTGACTTAATATTAAGCATTTGCACTACAAATATAAATCTACCTGTACAGGTCTTAGTTAATAATATTAAAAGCGAATAGAATATACAAAATAAACATTGTTAAATCACCTCTGACTGGGCGTTCAAAAACTGTTGTTGCTACAAGTTTGATAATAAAAATGGTGGACATGTGAAAGTGAGGCAACATGTGACATCCGACCGGACCAAGCAAGACTATAATTTTGTGACTTGATCACTTGGTTACATAACACCCTTGAAATCCTAAATAAAAAAAATATTAAACCACAAAATAGCAAATAAATGGCGGAAATCGTCGGATCAAATTTTGTCTACGATTTTCGTCTTCAGCACCCCTGAAAACCCATGGAAAGATATATTCAACGACAAAACAGCAAATAAATGACCTGGTTGCTATGGGATTTTGTTTTGGAACATACCAAATCTTTGACTTACTTTTATGAGTTGGGTAGCTTCAAATGGACACGGGGGATCACGGTGGCTATGTGGGTAAGACGCTGGCTTGCTAGCCTGGAGGTCGGGTGTTCGATCCTTGCATTGGCCGAGAAAGTGCATCCAGATTTTCCGGCGTGCTTCCCCCTTGTCAGTGATACAGGACAAAGGGCCTGACAAGAACAGCTGTCTAGTCGTTCAGATGGGACGAAAAACTGAGGTCCTGTGTACACATTGGCGTGCATATAAAAGATCCCTTGACAGTTGGAGTTCGATATAAGAGTAGGCCATAGTGCCGCTGTCCGGGCAAAATTTCCCTCATAGCACACTGTATGGCGTAAGCCTGTCTTCATTAGCCCAGTTCGGTGCTAAACAGTAGGACGTTGAACCCCATTTCATTTTATTTCATTTCATTTCATTTCATTTCAAATGGACACAGCTCAGTCAATTTTTGACAAATTCTAACAAACTATACATCAAATTGAAGGTAATGAGTCGGAGAATGTGAAAATAAGAATAACTCAATTTTTTCAAAATTTCCTCATTGGGACTCAGTATGCCATGGGGGGGGGGGAGGGCACATATTACTACACAAACTGCCATAAGAGCAGGAAGTACACTTCACTGAACACCAACTTGGATCACCGTTGACCTAGATGTTATATAACAACTGCTAAATGCCAGACCTTATTAGGGGTAATAAATTGGTCATCACCGCAGCTTAACAATTTTAGTGAATGTGTATTATAAACCTGGGGCCTAAACTATATACACACAGATTTTGTTTAGGTTCATTTCTCCTTTTTCTATCTTCTGCTTCTCTCTGTAGAAGCTCCCCTGCTTTTCTGTATGCCAATTTTAACTTTTGAATATGATTTTGGATATATTCACTTACTGGAACATAATCAGAAGTGCTATTGTTTTCTGTATTAAACAATAAATCGACAGGTAACCTTGGGTGTCTACCATGCATAAGATAAAAAGGAGTAAAGCCTGTGGTTGCATGAATTGTGGCATTATACATGAAAACTAATTCGGATAAGAGCTGTGGCCATCGTTTCTTATCACGAGGATCCAGTGATCGTAAAAGATCATGTAACGTGCGGTTAAAGCGTTCGCATTGCCCATTGCCTTGAAGGAAATAGGGTGTGGTTCTGCTTTTCTTGATTTTGTAGATTCTACAAAGTTCAGCTATCAAATTCCCTTCGAAATTCCGACCTTGATCATAGTGTAATCTTTCAGGTACTCCATATTTCTGAAACCATTCGCGAACTAAAACGTGAGCAATTGTGACAGCTGTTTGATTGCGCGTTGGGACTGCTACAGTGAATTTCAAAAACACATCGGTCATGACAAGTACATTTTCACGTCCATCGCTTGCCTTATCTATCAGAGTGTAGTCTATGGCAACTATTTCATTCGGACGAGAAGCTAATAAGTGACTCATTGGAACTTTAACACGAGGATTTGGCATTTTTGACAAAACACATCGTTCACAGTTTCTACAATAATCAATGACATCACTGAATAAACCAGTCCAATAAAACTTTGATCTTATCAGATTAGTAGTACGTTCCACTCCCTGGTGTCCAGCTTGATTATAAAGATACAATATCACTTTAACTTGTAGGCACTTAGGTACTACCAATTGTTTCAATTGTCCATGTTGAGGATCTAGAACTTGTCTATAAAGAATACCGTTCTCAATCAAAAATCTATCTCTCTGACGAAGCATGTCAGTTACCATTTTTGATTCATTTCTTCTTTCTTGACGAGTTGGTTTTCTGTTATTTACTAAATAATGTAGAACCCTTTTAATGATATATAGTCTTCTTGCAGAAGTTTTTCAATGTCCTTAGTTCCAAATGATGGCAAAGCGAATATGGAGTTACAATTGATATCAGATTGAGAATCTGATTTACGTGTGTGTGGTGATTCATAAAACTGAATAACCTTTTCCCAAGCTGTAGTTTGTAGTTCATTAGGAATGCTTGTTGATTGTGTGTACCTTGCTAAGATTGATGAATTTACAGGTTTTCTTGAGAGAGCATCAGCCGCAGAATTCAACTTTCCAGGGAGATATTTTATAGTAAAATTGTATTGAGCAAGTTGAGCTGCCCATCGTTGTTCGACTGCACCCAGTTTTGAACTTGACTGTAGATAACTAAGTGGATTGTTGTCCGTTATTACTTCAAATTAAGAAACATACGGGTAATCCTTAAACTTTTCTGTTACAGCCCATTTTACTGCAAGAAGTTCCAATTTGGCAGAACTGTAATTAACATCATTTTGTTCAGGAGGTCTCACAGTTCTGCTTGCGTAGGCTATTACTCTCTTACCACTTGGCTGTACCTGAGTCAAGACTGCTCCTAACCCTACCCCTGATAACATTCACTGATGGGTACCATATGGGTACCATGTGTCATGTAATATGGGGCCATTATGGGGAGCCCATATGGGACCCCAACATTTTTGCACCCAACATTCATATGGGATCCATATGGGCAACCATATAGGTACTAAATGGGGTTTGTGTGGGATCTATATGGGTAAGTCATTTAAAATAATATGGGTGTTATATGGGGCCTACATGGGACCTATATAGCAATGTTAAGAAATGTAATATGGGTACTATATGGGACTCATGTGGGGTGCAAATAAATGTAATATGGGGCTTGCATGGGACCCATATGGCCATGTTAAGAAATGCCATATGGTTACTATATGGGACTCATGTGGGGTGCAAATAAATGTAATATGGGCATAATATGGGACTCATATGGGATCTTGTACCAAATAAGTACAAAACTATTTACAGTGTATATTTGGTTTCATGTTTTATTATTATGCTTTCTCAATTAGGACGGTTGAAATTCGTTGAGATCTCCCACCATCCCGTCCCTTGAATTTGTCTGGAAACCAGTTCAAACGACTAACTGCAGCTTTGATTTCCTTGTTTGTGGTGTTTCAAAACATTGGATTTCTTCTGACTGGATCTGTAATTCAAAAGGAAAGCACATTAGGTCTGTTGATGTGCAACCTGACAAAGCAACACAAGTCTTTCCATATGATCTCCCCTGAGACCACAAAACACATACAATTCAAATCTAAATTGCACCTGAAATATGCAGAGGGTTCAAAAAGACTTTGAACATTGTAAAAACATTAAAATAAACCCCATCCTACCAGAACTATTATTGATTTGCATTTATTTCCAACAATGATGTATCATCAATATTACTTACTAAAAACAATGGTAGCTGTAGCATGTGCCCCTAATTCACGCTTGCCTTTTTATCCTGTCCAATTGTAACGGCGTTTTACATAAGTGACACTGAGATTCTTCATGATGTTGTTAACGATGGACAGGACATCTCTGCCACCTAATCGTCCAAGTCGGTTTATCTAAAAAAAACAACGAAAAAACGAAAAAATAAGTAAATGCACTATATATTACCTGCAAAATATCACATATCGAACAAAACTATTCTTCCATAAATTCACAATTATTTTAATGCGAGTTGTCACGTCTTAAAACATGCACAACCAAGCAGCTTCATCATCCTGATCATTAATATAAATGGTTACAGTTTTTTGTGAAAAAAGGGCACCAGACAAAAGCATTTATCTGTCAGTGTTGTTCTAACATACCTATATCAACAAATTTGACTCGTAACTTTTTTGTTTTGGAGCGGGGGGGGGGGGGGCATAATATAGAGTCCATACTAATATATATGACTGTCGTTTGTTTGTCATTCTGTTCAAGGTTGGTAGTTAAACCAAGGCTGTCATCGAGGCTGAATATTTTGTGTATAGGGGTGGCACCAGACTATAGTTTTACCAAATTCGGTTATAATGTCCTTTGTATGTATTTCGTTGTATAGCTGATAAAATTTTCCGACGTTTTTTCCAGCGAGAGCAAGAAACCTATATATTGCCGTGACACACATTAATGCGTGTTATAAGTTAAAAAGTAAAAAGTCACCTTTCTTGAAATGACATTTTTCTTGTTTCAGAATTTGCCAATATTTTCAAAATATCTGAAAAAAAGAAACATCCATTCAAATCCATCCTCATATTATTACAAAACTTTCTTGAAATGACATCTTTCTTGTTTCAGAGTTTGCCAATATTTTCAAAATATCTGAAAAAAAGAAACATCCATTCAAATCCATCCTCATATTATTATAAAACTTTTATATAAGTACTTTGATGCAATATACATATATATATATATATAGGTATATTTCCACACAAAATGATCAAGTCAGTTAAGTAACAGATATATTCTTTATAGGTCAAAGCAAAAATTTTCAAAATACAGAAACTTTCATTTCAGTTTATTTTGTCGAAAAGTTTAATGATACTCCAAAAAGTATCAAGCATATTGTAGTATAGGAAGGATGGGACAAATTTACCTTTGATTAAATTTTGTGAACTGATTGCAGAGATGTGTACCACTTTGGTCTGTTTCTTGTTAGTACTAACTTCTAGCTGCTATACACATATACTTCTGCAGTTCAGAATCTAAAATTAAACCAATGACCAGACTAAATTGGTTGTTATAGGATGACGCGCTGACAGGTATTCACGGTTGACTTGATGAACTCTGCTGTATGGTCAGATATTATATAATTTGAGTACAGAATCTGCTATATAGTCATTAAAATCTAACTAGCAAGAAACCTATACCAGCCAGGCTGTATTCATAATAAATTTTAGTCCTGATTTCTTTGACTTTTTTCTTTAAAGAATAATGTATTACGATTCTTTTGCTTTAAAGCTCTACAGAGACGGGCATTTATTTTGAATGGTAGAGTGAAGTACATATTTCTTAAAATGAAAATATGTGTCACAATTTCATTCATAAACAAACTCTATTTTTTATTCATGGTAAACTTATTATAGTCTGTGATAAGGAGAATTCTGCTGTAATCTGTTTAATCTCTGCAAAGTATATATTAGTGCACCACTTAATTCTACAGTAAAATATATTAATAAAAGATCTCCAAATTGTTTGGATTTTAATTTTATTTAACATATAAAACAAATTTCAGTACGGCAGTAGAATAAATCATCTACCTATGGAGTACCAATTTATATTGCGCGCAAAGGCATTAGCAGCTTTGCAAGTATGGCTTCATAATATTATATATTTTTTGAAAATTAATTTAATCTTAAGTTATATTTTTCTGATTTGTTATTACTGTATTGGTTTTAGAAGTACAAAAGTGTTATTTTTTTTAAATGCTGTTTATTTTGAGTTTGATATGTTGGTGATGAATTTGTTCACCTATAATTTGCATAGTCGCATCACCATGAATATAACCAGTTACGATTTCAACAATCTAACGCATTTACAAAGTTATGTGTTACAAAGTTATGTTCATGTTCAATATTATAAATTAAAACAAAACAAAGAAAAAAGACTTCATTTCTCAATTTTATTAAATTCTAATCTCTTACTTCTCAGTTCCTACAGGTTAAATACAAAGACGGTCTCATCATTAATACATCTAGGTTGCTACAAATAATTTCCAGACAACCTACCCCGTAACCTGTTAGGTTACCTGCCCTGAAACTGTTTGACTTAAAAATACAAAATACATTATGGAAGATTAAATAAAGAGCCGACAATATATAATAGATAAAAAACGGATTATAATTTTAATGGCAAATGTCGAAAATTTTAGTGAAATTGCTTCAATCTGATTCATATACACAGTAGCCTCGATTGTCATTTTTACCGCTGTTTCGATAATAAAAAGAAGACTTGATTATCCATTTTTGCGGTTAATCAAGGGCGTTGGACAGAAAATCGGATTCAAATCTAATGTAATTCGGACCCATAAGATGCCATCGAGGGCGTTGATTATGGTCTTTTTAATAAATGTCTAATTAATAGTTTATATAACATTTCAGACCTAAAGAAAGACCTGCAATAGTCAGATTTAGCTCTTGCATAATTTTTATGTTTAATTAAGCGAAAACATTAAATTTTAATGAAGGAGAAATGGGAAATTGAAAATATTTTTAAGTAAAGTAGATCAATAAAGAAATTGCAAAAAGACCTTACCTGTAAAAATTCTTATGCTCTTTAACAAATCTGTGTAGTTGTAACATGGTTTAATGTAAATCGCACCTGTATGTGCGACTGTTACTTGTCATGTAAATACAACTGTTGAGGGCGTAATAAGTTTAACTTATCCCAAATAAACAATTTAATGACATTCTGATTTTAATTTTCTGAATACTTATTAATTTCTACTAAATGCAATGGGTATGATTCCACATTGAAGCCGATACAAGTGCGACTAATCCCATATGGGTAAAATATTGGACCCAGATGTATTATTTTATATGTGGTAGATGCCATATAGATAAGATATTGGCCCCAGATACACATGTGGGTAATCCCATATTAATACCATATTGAACCCATATACATAATATACATGAATGTGGTTATATACCACACAAGCTTCTGGTGCACATATGCGTAATCCTGTCTGTGCAGATTGGTTCACAAAACTAAAACTATGGATTCAATAATGAACTTATACATACAAATAAGTAATCCCATATGGATACCATATTGGCCCCACATATACAAAAGTTATATGTAATCCTATACAGATACCATATTATCCCCAGATACACAAATGGGTTATCCCATATGGACACCATATGGGCCCTATGTATACAAAACAGAGTTGTTAATGTGGGTAATCCCATATAGAACCCATATTGGCCCCAGATACACACACTATAAGGTCAGATTATCAATGTAAGAAAGAAGTAAGCATTATACCATTTGGCTTATCTCTGTGATATTGATTTACACACAACTAAAAGTATGGATTCAATAATGAACTTATAGTATACATAGAATAATAAGTAATCCCATATGGATACCATGTTGGCCCCAGATATACAAAAGTTATATGTAATCCCATACAGATACCATATTATCCCTAGATACACACACGGGTAATCCCATATGGACACCATATTGGTTCCATGTGTACAAAAACAGAGTTGTTAATGTGGGAAATCCCATATAGATCCCATATTGGCCCCAGATACACACACTATACGGTCAGATTATCAATGTAAAAAAAGATGTAACCATTATATCATTTGGCTTATCTCTGTGATAGTAATATATACACAACTAAAAGTATGGATTCATTAATGAACTCATACATAGACTAATAAGTAATCCCATATAGATACCATGTTGGCCCCAGATAGGCAAAAGTTATATGTAATCCCATACAGATACCATATTATCCCCAGATACAAACACAGGTAATCCCATATGGACACCATATTGGCCCTAAGTGTACAAAAACAGAGTTGTTAATGTGGGAAATCCCATATAGGACCCATATTGGCCCCAGATACACACACTATACGGTCAGATTATCAATGTAAAAAAGAAGTAACCATTATATCATTTGCCTTATCTCTGTGATATTAATATATACACAACTAAAAGTATGGATTCATTAATGAACTCATACATAGACTAATAAGTAATCCCATATAGATACCATGTTGGCCCCAGATATGCAAAAGTTATATGTAATCCCATACAGATACCATATTATCCCCAGATACACACACAGGTAATCCCATATGGACACCATATTGGCCCCAAGTGTACAAAAACAGAGTTGTTAATGTGGGAAATCCCATATAGATCCCATATTGGCCCCAGATACACACACTATATGGTCAGATTATCAATATAAAAAAGAAGTAACCATTATATCATTTGGCTTGTCTCTGTGATATTAATATATATATGAAAATAAAGTGTATTTGCGTACATTTGTATGTGGTAAGATAATATGGGTCCTATATGGGGACTTTGTGGTATCACCTGGGCCCACAGCCCATTTTTTCCCCATATGGTCCCCATGTGGCAATGTTTATGGGGACCAAGCTGGCATCTGTTTCCAGAGTAAAAGGCAATGAAAAGTCGGCATAACCTAGTATTTCTGATGAAGTTAGTTTAGTCTTCAATGAATTAAAAGCATCATCACACGCCTGACTCCATGACGACTTCAATTTGGTGTTTGCTCTGGAAGGAGTTTTACATTTATTGCATATACTGATCAAAGTGTAGAGTGTGCAAACTGGTTAACAAAATGTCTATAGTAACTGGCAAATCCAAGAAATGATCTCAAGTCTTTGACAGTTTTAGGTTTAGGCCAGTCCTGTACGACTTTGATTTTATCAGGAGACGTTAAAACACCATTTGCAGAAATAACATACCCTAAGTAGCTAACACTAGAGCCGAAAAATTGACACTTCTTTCTATTCAGTTTCAAGCCATGTTCTTTCAACTTAGTAAAAACAATGTCTAATCGCTCTAAATGTTCTTCTAAATCACTGGAATATACAATAATATTGTCTAAATAAATTAAAAGTATCTGAAACACTGTATCGTTAAATATCTGCTGCATTAGTCTTTGGAAAGTTCCAGGGGAGTTACATAGGCCCATAGGCATTCTGTTTTATTCGAACAGGCCCATCGGTGTGACAAATGCTGTTTTATGTTGATCTGCAGGATCCATGGCAATCTGATGAAATCCAGCCGCCAAGGTACTGAACTAAGAACAACGAGTTCATTATTTACTTTCAACGGTTCAATGCAAATAGTTCTATTGTCACATGTACTACTTTTCTTATTAGGACCTAATACATTAACTGTACTTATCGAATACAAAAATCACCTTTACCAGCGATACGAGCAAAACCAGTTAGTTCAGATAAAGCGCTTTCTTGACAGGCTTTAATTAAACTAGAAGTTCCAGTCGCAGAAACTGTATTCACATAAATCGGGCCAAATTCTTTATGAAGCAAGTCTTGACATTCTCTGATAACGTTCATGCCTAAAACACATTGATATTCAATACTGTTACTGCCTCTAATGACCAGAATTCTGCGATCTTTAATTGTTTTATTGACCGACTGTAAGAAAATATCTGTTTCTATATACCCACGTAAGGTATTTCTAACCCGTTAGCTGCTTTTAACGTAATAAATCTGTTCTGAATCAATGGAATCTTTTTCAAGTATGCCTCATAAAATGTCTCTGTTATTGTTGTCACCATGGATCCTTTCACAGCTTTACCTCCAATCTCCACAATAACTGTAGGACATGTTCCCAAGACGCTACTTTCCTTAGCATCTGAGCCTAATACTGTCTTACTCAAGGATTATAGTCTATCGGCTGGCTCCCGATGACAGACTCTGTTCGTTTCTTTTAAAATGTCCAGGTTCATGACATTTGTAGCACAATTTACTTGTTGTAGGTTTCGAACGCATTGTGTTTACTTCTTGTTTCAAAGACACAACCTCTGAAGTAAGTTCCTTCAATAAAGTTTCTATGGAATCTTTGTCGGACTTTATAACGTATGAAGGCACGTCAACACATTTCTTTGGTTTGTTATTGTTACTATCAATATCTGTAGAACATAAGTTTGCTTCTTCTCGAAGATCAGCGAATGATATCTCCGGGTGTTCTCGATTTTTTCTTTTTAATTCACAACGTAACCATCTATCTGTTATATTTTCAGCAAATTGATCTCTGAGCATGATATCACGATTCAAAGTCATTTTTGGATCTACTTTGAAAATTCTATCAAGTTTTTCGATCAAGACGTGTGAAAATTCTGTCAAGGTCTGTTTCTCATCTTGTTTAGTCTGGTAAAACTGACCTAACAATTCAGTAACTGAAGACCTTTCACCAAATACTTCTACTAATAAATCTAAGATTGCTTCTGGATTTGTCTTATCAGCTGCAGGGCAAAAACGTAATTCTTCTTTTGCAGGACCATCTAGATGACCTAGGATAAAATCTACTCTTTCTTCCGAGGAAGTTGGTCTAGCCTTAAGACTCCTAGTTACTTCTTCTCGAAATTCATAGACAGAAACTGTCCCTTTGATGCCAGAAAATCTTTCGATTCTTCTTTCCCGAGGAGCAAAAACTAATCTTTCTCTTGGCCCTTTCTTTTGAACATCATCCAAACTTGCCCTTAAAAGCTAAAGCTGTGTCCGAAGATCTTCAATTTTCGCTACTCTCGGCTGATCTACACCCTCAGCTCCTGCAGTATTTTTATCTTTACTTGCCATGATCAGCTGTTCCAACCTTCCGCCCTTTTTAAAACTATTGACAGAATCCTATCGGCGACGCCATTTGTGACCAAGGGGAATTAACAAAAACCATGTTGTCAATACGATAAGATTTAATTTTTAAATCTATTAATCATACAAAAAAAAGGGTGGAGTTAACAACCCTGAAAGTACAAAAAAACAAACATTAATAAATTTGTTACATCATGAAGTTGACTTGATAAAAGAGATGGGGCTAACAACCACTCAACATGATCTGGGCCACTCCAGGACACGTATAAATTCACCTGCACATAGGGGATCTTAACAATGGTACATTTGTAGGAACCAGAATGCCCTGATAAAACCCCTGAGGTTAGGCAGGCGACTCCAATCCTGTCACATACATGTACAAGCGCAGGATCCAAAGCATGCCACCTGAGTCATTGACAGAACATATGATCCAAGCTCACGCGTCAGACCACTCGGCCACCCAAAGCTCTTAATTTGTTAACAAATATTTACATAATCCAACAATGTGAAAGAGTGTTGACAAACATTAATTGCTGCAGATGCCTCATGCCCCTGTATAGTACTTGAAAAACCTTTGACATTTACATGTACATAAAGTCAAAAACCTAACACCATTATAGTATTAATAGTTAATTTACTATCTAGGGATTCAAATAAATATTGAGAATTACACTCAACAAGTAACTATACGACATGCACACCGGTAACCTGCCTATTTAAGCTTGTATACTACAA